GCCATGCATAAACCTCTTAATGTCAAGAAATGGAACTGTTGCATAAAAACTCATAGTTCCATTTGAGTTTGTTCAAGCAATAGCTGAACCAGAATGAAAATGTTTTTTTTCTCTGGACTTCAGTATGAAAAGTAAATAGATTGGATTTATATCAGAATCCGAAAGCCGTTGACGTCTTGACAGAAGAAAGAACTACAGAAAATAATAAAAAAAGTGACTGATGGTTTAAAATTCTTGGTGGTGAACCATTGGTTGAGAGTTAATCTAGGAAAATAGCTCAAAAACAATTGTAAAATGGCCTTAAAAGAAGTAAATAAAACACCCAATTGCTTTGGTCTGAATTAAGTGCAAATTCAATAATTAAAAAAAGGTGTCGAACACAAAAAAAAAGTGGCTAAATGAGTGAGTGACTAAATGTTCACACCATTGAACTCTACTTCTTGCCTTTGGTTCTCATTTGCTTCCAGCTCCAGGGTCTACTATAAGGATGTGACCTCACGAATCCAGTCTCGAAATTTGGTGAGGCGTGTATAAATCCCAGGCTTGTTCCGTCGAGCGCAGCCTTCACCCCAGCTCACGATGCCAGCCTGGAACCATATGCCAACATCTGAACGGCACACGAGAGGGCCGCCTGAATCCCCCTGTGAAGCCCGAAGAGAACTGTATGAGAACCATCAAATGCATGGAGGACACTTGTATAGCCAAACCTTTTCAAAAGTTGCCTGTTGATATCTTCTAGGGAATGTTCACGAATACATTGAATGTTTACATTTTGTATATTGTGGTTATTTATTTGATGTGTTTTATTTATTTACCATCATTTCTTACTGTTTGTATTGAAACGGTTGCAATATTGCACATAATCATGCCAATAAAGTGCTTGAATCTGAGAGAGGAGGTGTATTTTGTATGGACTATGTGAAGGTTCATTTATCAGTTATCATTTATTGTTCTATACTTCTTTAAGCAGCGTATTTATTGTGTCATCCATTCCATTACTATTATTCCTCAATGTATTGCTTTGTTTAATTAAATTCAGCTCGTATTTACTTATATTATAATGTAAACAGTCAAAATAAATCATGCTTGGATTGGGAGGTGAGAAAGGAAAATGAAACAAATTCAGATATTAAAAATAGGGTCGGAAAGATGGAGCAAGGAATGAAGAATGATGTTTGTAGCATCTATGGAGGAGATAGATAGATAGAAAGGAGTTGGAAGATGAGGAGTGAACAAAAATGCTAAGAAGATTACGCTTAGAATCAGAGAGACTCAGAGCGTTTAGAAGAAGAAAGCAAGATGAATAACAAATGAGATAGAAGTAGAAATTATGGAAATCAGCTCATTTGAATATCAGGGAACAAGGTAGAATAATTAATCTTCTCCATAGTCAGGCGGTACACACAAACTGCAGGAAGACAACAAGATTAGCGGAACACTTCCAAGGTATTATGCTCATGTCAAACTTGTACTGTAGGTGTTTCTGAATGAATAGAACAGGATGAAAACACTTGACTGTGCATCTAAATAGCTCTTAAACCACCTAAGAATTCTTGCAAAGTCAAATGCTCATTCCACCTGAGTTTTGATGAAGCTTTTCAAATGGGTCTTAAATGATCAGTTGATCCCAAAACTAATATTGTTATTTACTCAAGTTTTACCAGCAGCCATGCTTTTTTGGTAAATCCATTGATTATAGCAGCTTCAAAATATGTGTTTAAGTAGGGTGTAATGCTCATGATACAGAGCATTACCTTGTATTACTACTATATCCACAATATTATATGTATTGTGATATTAAACAAGACATTAAAAAAAATATATTTACCTACTATTGAAACTGTTAACTGTCCGAATAAAAGCACATAAAAGACTATAAGGCGTACTGCTCCAGGATTCAATTTGCTTTATATCAGAATACGTGATCATCCACCCACTAGTTGGCAGCATGTGTTTTTGTACTCTGAGTATTTAACATTAAAAACAAATAGAGAGACCATGTTAAATACATAAACTGTGTCTCAATCCAGCTACTTCCTCCGAAGGCTGCATCAACAATTCGTAAACAGGTCAATCCTCTTCTTCTTCTTCTGTTGTATTATTTGGGATTTTGCAACCTTGCTTCTTGGTACATTAGCGCCACCAGCTGGATCGGTAATATGGATCACAAAATGAACGAAGGAAAAGTTCTTGTAATATTACCCCTTTTCTTTAAGTGCTTCTTTTATATTTTATCTTTTATCTTTGTGTATTTGAGAAGTGTTTCTAGTGTTTTGGGGTTCATTTTAAATTGTTGTATTTCTTTATTCATTTTTTGTCTGTTTATTTTAAATACTTTCATTTTGGTTGCACTGGTCACATTTCCCAGTGGGATGATATCCTATTTTATGTTGTGGGTAATTTAAACCAGTATGACAATCTAGCCTCATTCTGATCACAGGACTTTATTATATATAAAAATATAGATAGATATAGATATAAAAGAGGATAAGAGATAATATAATATAAAAGGAGAAAAGAGGACGCATTTGAAGGTTTGAGTTTTGGCCAAATGGAACGGCCTTTGTGCAGCGTTGTTGCGCAAGCGGCCCTGAAGTACGCAGGGGGATGCGGACCTCATATTGAAAGACAGCTACAGTTTTACAAAACTCCTCTTATTCTCAATAAAACGTTCAAGGCTGTTTTTCATGCTTGTTCATTGTAGCTCCCAACATTTTGACATTTTTGTATCCCGATACACTGTACCACAATATGTCTATAGCTCACACTTGAACACAGAAATCTTGACAATCTGCAGATATTCAGTTCAGGTCCTATAGTCAATTTTTACACTTACTACATTCTAGAAAAAGAAAACTGAGTTTCGCTATAAATAGATTTTTTTTTTCAAAACTAGAATTTTTTAACTCATTTACTCTAACTTAAAAAATCTACTGCTGTAGGTTAAGTGGAAATGTTTAGCTTTTTAAATATTCTACATACTTAAATTCTGCTGTGTCATGCAGAAGAGCTAGCCTCATCTCACCTACACATGGTCAAACCAAGCCATGTGTCTGCCCATTAAATCAAATAAAATGTATTTGTTGTTTAGAATCAGCTGCCGCTCTCATTCTCATTCTGAAAAGCACATTAGCAAGGTGTATTTTCTTTCTTAAGTTCATGGAGAGTTTATATAGGCACTGTTTGAAATCATCCAAACATAATGTGGCAAAAGGCAATTTTTCTTACCTGACAGGCATCTACGCCTCCAGTGAGGTAGCCACTACACATCATTCTTGAAGTCACTTGATTTGCTGTCACTATGTTGCAAATTGTATCATTAATGACCTTTACTTCTGCCTTTTGAAGGATTTGAGCAACACTTCCTACAACACATAAATAAGGCATTTGGAATGATTCACAATCTTCAAACAGATCACAACAGATCTATGTCTTAAAGACCTCACCGCCCTCTCTTAATGTCCCCCAGCCAGTGACAAAGCAGGAGGTCCCAGCAGAGAAGACATGGGTGGATGCTGGTAGGCAGATAGGATGCACAGTATTGCTAAAGTTGAGAGGCGTGCTAAGCTCCAAGAGAGAGATGTCATAATCAAAGTCCGAAGTGTAGCTCGGGTGGGTGATGACTGTCTTCACACTGCGCTGTTGAACCGCACCATCTAAAATGTTCTGATCTCGAAGACCACTGAAGGCCTGCCAGCTCGACGCCAACTTGTATCTGTGGGCAATTTTCACATTCAATTTTAATACAACACATTTCTAGTAATTTTATCTTCTCTGACGCAAAATTATCAGAGGCTTTCTAAAGAAAAATGTATAGAAGGTTGCTGTTCATTCAAGCGGTTTATATAAGATGAATCTTTTCAAAATGATCTGGTAATTAAATCGTACATTTCTTTTAACACGGTCATTGAAGCAGAGTCTTTATGAAATTACAGTTTATTTGAAATTTACCACAACATTCAAAGCAAATAAAACACTCTGGAAATCTCATTATCTTCCCATGATTACACAATAAGGACACCAGGGTGGGCGGTGTGAAGAAAAGGTTAAACTTATAATCTGGTAATTGTATTTGCTTATATAATATTCAATTTAAAGGTTTAGTTTTCAATCCATTAAGTCTCAAGGAAACTTCACCCTGGACTTAAGCAACAAAGACTCTACAGTCATCCTCCAAACTCCCGGACCTTCCCAAATGAAATGCTGCATTTATACTGATCTGGAAAGAGCATTTTCTGAGCACAGAATCCTCCATATCTCGGATAAGATGCTTCAGAAGATCTCTCTGATTCAGGAATTTTTTTTGACAGGATTGGATTTTTCTTAATGAAGACTATTGATGCTCTGACTTAGCACAGTCCAATCCTTGAGAAGCTCTCCCAAATACAATTCTGTTAATAGAAGAAGGGGTCTATTCCTGTTTATGATCTATAACAAGTAACCAAACTGTCTTTAAAAATATACTCTGAAGTCCAAAAATCTACATAACTTAATAGATTTAACTACTCATTGTCTATAATGCCACATCTTCTCTGTTTGGGCAGCAACTGAAAGGCTAATTTAGTCCCCCCCCCCCAACAATGCCATCTTGTTTAGACATTATTAAACAATTTTATAATAATTTGAGTATCTTGTCTTTATCATTAAACTGAACGAAAGATGAAAAGGCAATTAAGAGAATGCATGATGGTGGTAAATATTGGACCAGCTTTCACTTGTGTGTGCTGTAGAAGAGGGAGGAGGAGGTATCCCCATCAATGTAGACCTAACTAGTAAGTAAACATTCTTCTGTTGAGTCTCCTGAACTTAATTAGCATTCCATTTTTGACCATACGTAACATACAGTTATTTTATCAATAGTTTAATCAAGCAGTCAATTAACGCATTACATAATATGGTCCTCCAATGAATCAGTTATATACTTATCTACATTTATGCACTCGGCAGACGCTTTCATCCAAAGAGACTTACATTGCATTCACTGTTTAAACTCCAGTTAGTGCTTTCCCTGGGATTTAAACCCATGATCTTTGTGTTGCTAGTGCAATGCTCTTCTGACTGAGCCACAGGAAAGCACGAAGATTACTACATGTTTGAGAATCTAAATGTGTTAAAAAAAATGACAGAATTTTGCACACACACCAGAACTGATGAAAATGTACCTCTGAGAGTGTGGTAAAATGGCTTTATAGAGCCACCCAACACATTTCAGTTTATGGCGTGCTAACAGTTTATTGTTGGCACATATGTATGGGGAACAAAGACTTAAAAGAACATTTTCCAACTGGAAATTTTAAGATAATTTTAAGATTAAAGTATGATTAAAATGTACTGTGTCCATATTTTGCAACAAACATTACAGGAAAAATGTATCTTTCTCTGGAAAGCAACTGAATAATATCACCCGGTGCCTTCACAGGTAGAGCAAGTTATTACATTTTGCTGAAAGATCCAAAACAAGCATTTGAGCACAGATGCATCATTCCAGAGATTATTAAGAAAGTAAATGAGTCTGTTCTGATTTCATAGTGAAACCGTACCTCGGGAGGGTGAATTATCTTTTCAGTCTCAGCTCCCCTAGAGTAATTCATCAAGCAAAATTATTACTCTACTGCATGTCTTGTGCTCCACCTACTGGTTAGTGAGAAATCTTACATGCTACTACTTGGCACCAGTTCAAGAGTGCTGATGTTCAATAGCATTTGGGCACAAAGAGAACAGAGAAAGAGATGTTTGTCAGGGATAAGAGCAGCTAGTGCTGGCAAACAAAATCAACTCACGATGGGTCAGGTTGGATGAAGCAGTGGGCAGCGGACAAAAGCCATTTGTTCGAGATGATTGAGGCACCGCAAGTGTGTCCGTCGGCCGAGAAATGTAGACTGACCTGCCACGGCCATTCACCCACATCTGCGTTCTGTCCACCCACGATCCGGTTATGCTTGTACGGCCGGACTCCACAGTCTGAAAGCAAATTATTGGAAAACACACAAAGAAATTCAGTCTGAGACAATGGAAAGGAAAGCATTGGCATGCGGAGATGAGAGGTTACAGGGTCCAGTACAAGACCAGCGGGGAAGAGATCAGAGGGCTCGTTGTAAAGCTGTTTGCTCTGAAAGATGGCAAGCCTCTGGAAACATCGGCTCTGACTCACAGGATCCAAGCTGAATCCTAACAAGGCCGATTTATAGAGGAATGAACTGCGCTGGCTGATAAAAACACAATGAGGAAAGAACTAGAATCATGCAGCCCTGAGGCCTTATGAAAAAAAAAGGTAAGAGGACAAGAAATGTAAAGTAAGGTTTCTTACTTTGCAAGCTCTGGCTCCAATGTGATTTATTTTTTTTAATGCTAATTAGAGTTTTGTTGATTCAGCAGGTTGTGGAATTACAATTGGTTCATTTAAACACCAAAAGCTTGTGGGAAAACAATGGGAAGCTCATTATCCTCAAATAATTATGCAATAAAGACACTGGAGCTGAGTGGAGAATCAAAATGTTATACTGAACACAATTAAATCATAAACCTACAGTGATTTAAGTGATTTATTTTCATTAAAGAAAGTTCAAAGCCATTTTATTGCTCCTTCTCAAAAAAGTATGAAGATGCTAAAAATGTACATGATCAACATCTTTGCGGATAAAATATCTAGAAAACTAAAAATGTGTTATTTTAGAGAAATACGCAATTCATCTGCAGGGATAGAACTAAGTTTTTGACTTATTTCACTGACAAAGATATTAGGAAAAAAGGGCATAAACTACAATGGAAACGCTTTTACAGAAATAAATTTGAGTTTTTTTTTCTCTAGACACTAAGGTGCGAAGGGACGCCATTAATGAACTAATCAACGGAGCGATTTCACGGCACAGCATCTCAAATGTTGTTTTGTCTGTCATCAAAGTGGTTCGGATCACCTCCCAGAACTGTTTTGACCGGCTGCGATCCCAAAGAGCAGTCTCTTGGTTCCACAATCAAGCTGACTGTGAATATTGTGTTCCGTCGACGTGTTCTAAGACAAAAGTAGGTTTTATATATGAAAAAAGATTTCTCCAAATGTAGCAACTTCCATTTTTCCTTTGATATTTGAAGTTGAAGTTTATTACAAAGTGATGATTTTGTTCTCTTGAACTCATTAGATGCAAATGGTGCTTTATTCGCAAATATTTTATGCAATTTTCCAGTTTTGCGCATACATTTAATTTGTATCTTTGGATGGAAACAAATCTGCCTCCTGTGATAGCTGCTCAGATGAATTGATCTCATTAGAACTTCATGCGTTGGATCTTACATGGAGCACCAGACTAGGGAATATTGATTATAATCTCACTAACTGTTGTCACCTTCTCATCAAGACACTTGGTGATGGTCTTGAAGGATTTGTGTGCAGCTCTACAATCTTGTCCTTGTCAACTTGTGGCCTTTGGTCTCATCAGTGGTGGACGCTTCTAATCTCAGCCAGCTAACTCTATAAGACAGCTGGGAGCCAGACACGCTGCAGATTATTCAAGGGTCCAAATTTTATTTCACCCATTTAAGATTGGTTTAGAACTTATTGGTTCAAAGAAACCCAACATTAAATGGATCTTTTCCTTGTCTATATAGTAAAACTTCTAAATCACATTTTTCTTCCCTGTACTAAAGTCAACCCAGACTGTGAATCCAGCAGAAAAACCTTCATAAATTAAGATAAAAAGTGCAGCTGAATTATGCAGGACTTCATCGTTGCTGTAAAGTGTCCTCCTACATTATTGATGTTTAATATTTTGAATTCTATTACATATACATTTTCAGCTTCAGTTAGAAATATAAGTGATATTTAGTAGCAACATGTTACATAAAAAGTAGCAAAATTGCCTGCTTCCAATAGAGGCACTTTTACTTTAACTTAAATCGAGAACAAAACGTCATACTGCACTTAGGAGATAGAAAAGCGTTTATTCAAAGAATCTTCTTTTTTTTTCAATAATATTGAAGTTCTAGCTAACATCAGTGAATTGTTTAAGAAAGTATTTGCAACAAAAATATTTTTACTTCCAAACACTGGAATTTTGTTCCCCCACCATGGATGGTGGTGATGAGGCTAATGCGCAGAATTCCGAAGGACATAGCCATCGTCCTTCCCATCCCTCCCTGTTTTCTCTCCACACCTTGCTTTCTGTCACTCTGCACTGTCCCGTCTATTAATAATAAATGCTACGGCCAAAAAAATAAACAGAGAGAAAAATCCTCCCCTGTACATTTCCCCCTTTTATAGGAGTGGTCTCAAACCGCATACTCCATCAGCAAGCTTTCTGTAAAGGTTCATTAATTACAGATCAAAGACAGCTACGAGGGGAAAAAATGTTTATCGTCCAAAAACCAGTTGCAGAAAATAACCAAAATTTTCTCTTTAATAGTTAGAGCAGTTAGACAAAAGAGCAGCTTTTCTTTTGTTTGAGAGAGAGAAAATAATTGAAAAGCATCTTACCACATCCCTGTTCATCTGAACCATCAGAGCAATCACTGTCCCGATCACATTCTGCATTCACTTTGTTTACGCACTCCTTGTTCTTGCACTTGAAGGAGAAATCGTTGCAGATCGCAGCCGCTAGGAAAACAAAATGAAAGTGAAACTTGAGGTAAACAAGGAGAATAAAACATCAAGTGCAGCTTCTTTTCATCAGCTAAGACCTCCGCCAGCCTATTGATCAGGGCTATTGATCATGAGATGGGTCACTTATCTCTGCGGGAGGATACAAAAACAATGAACATGAGTTTATGTGCAAAAAAAGGACAAGGACTACTGTAAAAGAACACATTTAAATGTTATCATTGGAAGTGTTGCAATGTGTCTAACGATGTGATCAGATTATCAAGTGTAATCCATTGTAAAAAGGTCTTTTACATTAAATTACTTGAAGAAATGTAATCCAATGACGTTTAGTTGGCACTTATGCACGTCACCGGGACAAGGATGCAACTTAAGTGCAGCGGCTCTCTAAAGAGGCATATCCTTACCATCAGTCTGTGATTACAATTGCTGGAATTAAACCAGTGGCGGTGTACAAAAAGACTGGAAACCACGGCTTTAAGTAACAATAAAGGGTGTCATTATTTCTCCGGCAAAACTTAAGAGTTTAGTTTTGTGAATAATATGCTCTTACGTTAACATATACAAAGCAACAGAAAGATTAAAACAAACAGGTTTGAATCTCTGATTGTACTCACATGATGCACAGGAGACCTCATCACTGCCATCTTCACAGTCACTTTTCCCATCACACACAAACTCCTGGGGGATGCAGGCACCATTACCACATCTCACCTCAGCTTTGCCACAGTCTAACAGAAACAGATGGTTAAGTGTATATAATGGCTGTAGCTTTACCATTGGTAAGTAAAAAAAAAATTGTTAAATCTTATACAAGATTTTTTTTATCTCAAGTAAGAGATAAATAGGTAAATAGATAAATATAACACGATATATACAGTGCAGTAGGAAAGGAGAATTTGTCCCATCCATCTGTTTGATCATTCAACCCAATATATAACCCATGCACGCAGGCACACACACACTTATACACCTTACCACAGTGTTCTTCATCACTGTTGTCACCGCAGTCGTTCACTCGGTCACACACAAAAAATTGAGGTCTGCAAAGGCCATTGCTGCAGTTAAATTGATCTTCATCACAGTCTGAATAAAAAAAAAAAACAGGCAAATATTTATTAACACTTTACATTTAGTATTTAATATGTCATGCCAAAATGAGAAGCAACAGTTAAAACACTTGCTTTAGAAATATGTATTTGCTTAAATGTAGCTCTTCCAATCACTAATATTAGCTATAAATAAGGCAATATTCAATATAAATGATTGTGAGATTAATGTGTTCTTCATGTTTGGTGAATTGTCATGCTGTACATAATTAAGAAGGTAACAATAATTACATTATGATATTGTTTCTATAATAGAAATCACAGTTAATGCTTCATTTTTTACTGTTTGTCAAAAGATATTTAATTTTTTCAGCATCAAATAATCTACTACTGTGGTTCCCAATGCCGGACTTTTCCAAATATCCAACCATTGATC